GGTCTCTACCGTTCATTTTGTTTTGCTTGTTCTTGCAGTTAAAATATTTAACTCTGCAACATTTAAAATAAATGAGTAGGAACTCTACTAACTTTACAGGCTGTTTTACTTTTTAGTTTGAAGCGATTTCTGACGTACGGTAAAAGTTTTTTCACTGCGATTATTCAAACTCTGGAGCTTCTCTTTGTTGCAGAATGGAGCGACGAGCTGAGAGGGAAGAAATGTAAAAGGAAGGACCTGCTCGGCCGCTCAGAGAGGAAGAAAAAGGTTGCTCTAGTTTCAGGTAAGGAATTTAAATAGAGCAAGCATCCTGTTGAAGCAATAATCTGATGTATTCAGGCGAGGTGAAAACTCCACCCTTATGTTCCAGGGCCGTTTATTGTCTACATGTTGAGAGATATCGACATCCTCGAAGACTGGACCGCCATCAAGAAGGTTAGAAATCAGTTTAATTGTCTTGAGTACAAAAAAATGACCCGGATAAAGCTACAGCCTCACTGTTGATATCTTCGTCCAGGAATGTGTTTTGAATCATTACAATGATATGAGCTGCAGTATTGGTCTGTTCATTTATCACCTGATTATGTCGCTATGTTTAATTTAAACAATGCCTTAAAAAAATCTGCTGCCTTGAGTCTGTCCTACTTGTTTAATATTACATTGGCATTTAAATTTGCAAGTTCATAACCTTTGAATTATATTATGCAATAGTTATTGTAGTCCCTTTGAAGAAGAGGAATACGCAAGCTAATACTGGGTGAGTGATAGAGAGCTGCAGGAGGACTGTGAGCGTCTGTCTCAAGGATTAAAATCAATTTCCTTTAGGGCTGAAATGATCAGATTAATCACGATTAATTGGTTATTGAAATAATCAACTAATTTAGTAATTAATTAATCGTTAACTGGAGTATATAGACTCAAACATGCATTTAACTGACAGTTCGACACATTTAAGGCAGTAATTATACAATAATAAAAAACAAAAAAAAAATTCTGTCCATATGCTCTATCCAGAACTTTTCAAGTGGAAAACTTTTTAATTTTGTAAAAAGTCTTCTTTAAGGAAGCTTTGACTATCTTAATCAATTAATTGAAAAGATAATCAACAGATGAATCGATTTTTGATATAATTGTTATTTGCAGCCTTAAGTTCATTATAAAATCCGTATTGGAACATTTATATCAATATTGATTCAAATCAGTATTAAATTAGTGGTTAGGCTACCCCTAACTACTTCAGCATGATCAAATCTGCTGTTACTTTAGTTCATTTTTAATTTAGTGTTTGGTTTTTAACATGCTAAGCTGTCTGAGCGTCAGATATCAGATTTTCTTCCGGCAGGCGGGGCAACCTTCAAGATCATGTTTACAATAAGTGTTTCTGTGTCTTCCAGGCAAAAGCAGCTCTCTCCCCACTAAAAAAGAAAGCTGAGAGTAAGTTTATTTCAGCTGCAGAGAACAAAACAAATGGTACCAACCTGTCCCTCTTTGAGAGTTTAACCTCTAACTCTTCTCCTGGGTGTCTTTCAGAGCGGTGATGATGTGAAGATCTGAGCTGCAGACGCCAAACCTAACTGAAGCACTCACATTCCCAGTTTCTGCCTCCGACACCTGTGTGTTTGACTGAAACACAGCAGCAGCAACTTTTATTTTATTTTATTTTTTAAGTTTGTTGGGAAAGCCTTCGACCCCCCCCAGCTTGTTTGTTATACGTTAATATTTAAGATGCGTTCTTAATTAAATGACTTCATGTATTTATAGAATGATTTATAATGCTGATTAAAGTTTTAATCTTTTACGACACAGGTCTTTAGCTCATTCTTTTCTGACAAAGAAAAAAATATATAACAACATTGAAGGGTAATACCTGCGACTACCGGTACACATCTGTTATCTGAATGGCATAGGGACGATACTCCTCCAGATATCTGGTGTTTGTCCAGCCTAAAGAGGGAACATTTTCTGCTCTTATGGGCACCGCTACAGCGCAGCATTACTCAAATCTGACCTTTTCTGGTACAGATAGGCGTAGGTGTACAGAGGAAGAAACCAGGAGGCCTTTCTCTAAATGGAAGAAGAATGTAACTCGCTGCTAAGACTCCTTTCGAAGAAGAAATGAGGGATTCAGTTGGGTTTGGAAGTTTATTTGACAATATGAAAGGGAAAGATTTGGGCACATTTCATAAAACATCAGCAAATCAAACCAAAATGAATAAAATAGAAATGAATAAATGGGTGATCAAGCCTCCGGATGACGAATAAAGATATATATATATTTAACAGACGCCTGTAATAAACATTGTTGTGCTGGGATTGTTAAATGTGACACTACCCTCCTCCAAACTCCTCACAGCTGCTTGCTGAGCTTACGCGCCTGCCTCTCCCTGGCCTCAAAGGCCGCCTTGGTGTCCAGAAGCTCATCCAGCTGCCGGCGGATCCGGGCCATGTCCAGCTGGGTGGCCTCGCACTGCTCCCTCAGGGCGGCCGACTCCACCCTCAGCTGCGTGGCGGCCAGCGAGAGCTGCTCGCTGCGCTCCCTGCACTGCTGCTGCATCCTCCTGGCGTCGCCTAGAAGGGACTCCACGCTCACCACCACAGAGTCGCACTGGTTGTTGGACACTTCCTGGCGAGAGGGGAGCGGAAAACCATGCATTCAGAGGCTGTAGGAACTTTAACAGCAGGCCCTCCACAGAGGAGCAGGTTTCAAACTCAACATTTGATCTGTGGTGGATGAAGATTACAGAGTTTATCCCCGCTTATCTCACTGCTCTGAGTTTGGCTTCTTTTCCTCATCTCTACCAATCGACATTAAAACAGATCTCACCATTGATTCCAGGGTCAGACTGATCTCCAGCCTACTGGTCTTCTTCTGAGCCTCGACCTCTTGGTCCGTATCGCTCTTCTCCAGTGCTTTACTCCCTGGCCTTTCTCGCTTCACAGATTTACTTCCTGCACATCTAAAAGGGAGCCAACATCCACTCCTAAGGATCCTCTTATTAAAGGTGAATCTAGCAGCTGCAGGTCAGTTAAAGGTTTGTTTCTTAGCAAGTGTAATATTTCAGAGTGAGTCTGAAGTCCAGTCTGTCGTCTGAAGCTCTCCTCAGCGAGATTCACCTTCTGCCTCAGCCTCAGAGTGAGCTCACATAATCCTCTGAGATTAAACCATTAGGGGGAGCGAGGGATTCCTGTGTAAGCTCTCTTCCTGGTCTATTTTCATCCACCTGGTTACTATTCACAGAACTAAAACACAAGGATCATTTAAACAAATATTTAATTTAATATGTAAGTATTTTCTAATTGCTGTAAACCTTTATTTATGGAGTTCAGTATCATTTTTTTTACTAATTGAGAAGTTAACATTTATTTAATTAGAATATTGAACTTTAAACTCTTAGAAATGATTCAAACTCAGTCATGATTTACCTGTAATTTGGCTCTTTTTATACCCCCTCCTCTTGAACTAGCAAACAGTCAGGTAACGTCACGTAACCTTTTGATGCTGCACTCAAATCTAGAAAACTGAGGGGTGATGGCAGCTTCAAAACTTGGACTTTGTTATTCTGAAACTACTTCATAAATAATTTTGTAATGGGCCTAGACTCATCGTGAAATGCATTCTGTTGGTGAAGTGCACCAGTCCCTCCTGCAGCCAGGTAAGGCCACAAGTCATTGCTGCTGCTACAGCAGGGGGTCTACAACCTTTACAGTCCAGACAGCCATTTTTGACTTTAGTCCAGCGAATAAAAATTATATAAAACAGTTCATATCAAAGAGATCTGTCATTTTTTTTAAGAACCACTGTCTTTTTAGGTTTTTTAATTAAGGAAAAAAAACTTAGAAAAAGAATACATTTTCAAGGGGTTGCTGAAATGTATATAAAAATAATAATAATTTAAAAGGTATAATGGATGATTTTCTCCAATTTTTGGAAAGACCTGCCCTCTCCACTTAAAAAAAAAAAAAATTGCACATACACAACCCTGTACCTGATCCCCAGAGGGACAACCTGTTTAACGCGTGCGAGAGCATGAAGGAGCCCATTTATCCTCACGCACGCTCTGTTTAAAAGTTGCTGTTTGCATCGCTCATACAAGCTTACTTTCCAAAACATTTGCAATTTTTCCACTAATTCAGATTCACCAACAGTAAGTAAAAATGGGGACGTGCACATAGGGCAGCCTTACGTAAACATACCACCAGAATGATTGACAAATAGGAGGACTACTTATTTTTCTCACATTTTTCCCAATATATATATAATCTTTTTTTTTCTAATATATTCATAGGAAACCTATTTTGGAAATTCAATGCAATTGGCCATTCCAAAAAAGTTTAAAGAACAATCCACTGGACTTTTGACGTTTAAAGACATTTCGCGTGGAAACAAAGTCCAGTGGATTGTTCTTATTTGGAATGACTATGACCTGGATGATTCAGAATCTTCACCAGCATAATGCATTTGGTCAACAACAAAAATGACTAAACCTACATTTGTTAGTGTCTATATTTTTTAAAGAGTTCTTTGCTCTTTATCATTTTGAACCAAGGTAAAGAAGAGCCAATGCAGAATGTTGCAGAGCCCAGCGCTAGACTTCATGTTTTAGGACGTTGTTCTCAGGCTTCCAAGCTTGTTTGATTTTCCTCCAATTGTAAAGGCAAACATTTTTCATTTCAGATGTATTCTTTGAGTTGTTGTCGATGGGGGACTCCTCTAGGAGTGTACGATTATACTGTGTTACCAGCTATAACCAGTATCTTTACAAAGTATTGGTCCAGTACTCTCACGTTTGACCATTACATATCCACCTCGGGATGCACGCTCCAGTAGGACTTCTAAACATCCGTCATGAGAGCTCCTGTCACATAGTGTTTGTCAGTTTAATTAAAAGAAGCTCCCTTGTTTTTTCTTTTAGCCGGAGCCAAATGTTGAGCTGCAGGTACAACATAATCAAAGGGAGGGAAGGAAGAGGAAAAAAGGTACAAAAATTCACCTTCTCTTAAGTGGGATGGCAACAAATTTAATATAAATGGTTAAGGCAATACAACAAACACCTGCTTTGAACATTTGGATTGTATTTAAGGAAAAAAACATCAAATACATTTATATTCCAGTAGAAATGCCTTATTTATTAATATCAACCAGCAGGGGGAGACATTTCCTTTAACAATCTGTAAGCAGGCTTTAAACAAACAGGCAGTAATAATACAAACCAGGTCACATGAGGAGCTAATGAGGTTCAGACCAGACAACATCTCAATAGGTCACTAAACAGATATAGACAGGATTCCACAATATAAATGTTAATGATTTAAAACATTAGCTATTGAAAAAGTAACAGTTTTCCAGCGGGTGGATGAACAAAGATTTGCCGAAAAAGTTTCTGATTTAACAACAATAAAAAAAAAGGAATTGGCTTCAGTACCATGCTGAAATCTTTGGATTACGAGGCTGAAAGCGCAGACTGTGAAACCGTCACAGAAAGACCTGAAATGAATATTATATAAAAACACATCTCCACTTTCTCCAGCGTTACTGAGGGGGGCGGTTAAAGAATGGCTCTGTCTCTCCTGCGGTCGCTCCTGACTCGCCAAAAAGGGCCCCGGCCGGTGTGGGAATGAGTTTGGCCCCGGAAGTCTGACGCCTCTGAACGATCACCAGCGCCACAATGATGAGCCAGAAGAAGAAGTTGACCCAGACCGCCGTCTGAGGAGCAACATTAAAACAACACAAAAGTTGAACCTTTCAGTTACTTCCTGGAAAACAGGAAGGAAGCAATGTAGCTGAAGGTCAGAATGTGGGGAGATACAAACCTCTGATTTGTGAAGATTGGTGTAGATCCGGTCTCCTTGAAGAGGGCCGACCCATTTCCGGCTCTGAACTTCCTCACATCTAAGAAAGAAACTCAGAAAATTACCTTTAAAATCCCCCAGAAATATTTAATTTACCTGCACTAGAGCTGCAACTAACCATTATTTTGCAAATCGATTAATCTGACGGATTAATCGAATAGCAAAAGGTTCCAAAAAGAAGATTTTTTTTTTACAAAATCAAACCAAATAAACTTAAAAATTTTCATCTTGAGTAGTTCTAGATAGAGCAGATTGACAGATGAAAAACCTTTTTTTAATCTTAAATGCAAAATTTATACGTATTGTTTCTTTACAATTTCGATATAATTACTGCTCTAACTGGGTTGCTCTGTCAGCTAAAGGCTGTTTTAGAGTCTCTATACTCCAGTTAACAATGAAGAGAGAGCTGAACCAAAAAAGCAAAGCTCTTGATTTACCGGTAGATCTACGTTCCTACCCTCATCTATGGTCATGAGCTTTGGGTCATGACCGATAGAAGGAGATCCTGGATACAAGCGGCGGAAATTATTTTTCTCCGTAGTGTGTCTGGGCTCTTCCTTAGAGATAGGGGGAGGAGCTCAGTCATCCGGGGAGGAGAGCCGCTGCTCCTCCACGCTGAGAGGAGCCTGTTGAGGTGGCTCGGGCATCTGTTTAGGATGCCACCTGGACGTCTCACTGGTGAGGTGTTCCAGGCACGTCCCACCGGGAGGAGGCCCAGGGGGAGACCCAGGACACGCTGGAGGGACTATGTTTCTCCCCTGGCCTTGGGATTCCCCCAGAGCAGCTGGCCCAAGTGGCTGAGGAGAGGGACGTCTGGGCCTCCCTACTGAAGCTGCTACCCCCGCGACCCGACCCCGGATAAGCGGAAGAAGATGGATGGATAAATGAGTTGACGATTATTTCAATAATTTATTAATCACGACTAATCCAATTGTTTGTTTCAGCCCTAATCTTCACCATTTCATTTTGTGTTTATTTTTTATTGAAAACTTGCATAGGAGTTTTTGGAAGGCTAAGTTGAACTTAATGAGCTATACCCAGCTCTGACTTCTAGAATCAAGAAACCAATTAGATAGACAATATCTGACAACATGAAATAGATTAACGGATATTAACATGCAGCCAAAGGGCTAAAACACTATTTCCAGGGCTTTGGAACAATGGATAACCTCCATAGCTGTGGTCAGACGTCCACAATTACTCTAAAAGCTCACTGATGATTCATCCAAGAGGTCACAAAGCAACGCAGAACATCTCCTATAGCAGGGGTCTGCAAACTCTACAATACAAAGAGGCTTTCAGGAGAGGAGTCCAGCAAAATAAAAGTCCATTAGAGCCACTAATATTACACAACCTTTTAAATAAAAAGGCCCAAAACAGTTTATCTATAGTTTTAGGTTTTTAAAATATATGGAGCTATTTTTTATTCTTATTAAATTTGAGGAAAATAGTGATCTGAAAGGGGAAAATTATTTAAAACAAAAATAAACAGAGAAAAAAAATTTTCATACTGATAGGAAATACTAATGTTTTCTGAGATTGAAGAAAAACATTTTGAGAGAAAATATTTTATTTTATTCATTAAATAAATAAAAGATAAATTGACATTTGGAAAAGGATTTCCAGGGGTAAAATCTCTTAAAATATATTTTTACCCTCAAATATAGGTTTTTTTTTTGCACTCAGAGTGAAAATGGTTTCTGTCAAAAATAGATTTCTCTCTCAAAACTGTTTCTTCTCTTTCTCAAAATCTAAGTCTTTGCTGTCGATTCAGGGTTTTTCTCTCAATTAAATATTTGTCATGGGCGTGACTGTTCCTATTGGCTCTCAACTGAATTTACAATCATGTTTTGGAAAATAAATGTAAATGTTTAAAAAACCTGCTAAATCTTCTAAGACTGGTACTTGTTATATTACTTGGTCATACAGATTAGCTGGCTCTGTATCGTTTTTAGGTACTATTAGTAGCCATGGTAGAGGCTCCAAAGAATCACAGTTCAGTTCAGGGTCACGGTCAAAGATTCAGCAGTAAAAAGAGAGAAAGAGAAAGGATCTATGGGATTCAAGTAGCAATTGAAGCCAGCCACCAAAGGTTTTGTTTCCCATTCACCAAACAACATTCTGATGATCCCCAAGAATTGGGAGAATATTATGTGAACTGATGAGGAAAACATGGACATTTCTTCTTTAAATCAGCTGGAAAAAAAGTATTTGAGAAAAGGAGCATCATATCAGCAGCCCAACCAGATAATGATGGGTTCCTGAACAACTTTGCTGCTTTTGGAACCTGCAGGTTCTCCACAACTAAACCACCATATCTGTTCCTTGACTAGCAATCATACAGGAGAATCTGGATCTATCAGTTTGTGCCAATCTGGAGCGAATCTTGGTTAATCCTAGTCCCACCTTCAATCTATGGCACCGCCCTTTTTCCATCCAAAAAATCCTTTTAATGGTGCTGCATTAAAATAATTCAGCAAAGAAGAGGGTCAAAACTCCTACAAACCAACAAAGGCTTGTTGCCAGTTCTGCAAAAGTTTAAGGCAGAAACAGCCATAAAGTTAGGTGATTATTAGTTTTTTTTTTTATTAATTCATTAATTCATTAAAAACTGTTTGTATTTATTTGGGTTTGTTATTCTTGATTTAATTTAATTCTTGATATGACCTGAAACAGTCACACATGACAAAAAACAACCATAAGAACAAAACATTTAATTGGGCAAAAGCATTTTTTTTAGAGCACCAGAGCTAACAATTTGACCCAAAACAACAACAAAAACCAAAGCAACCACCTCTACAAGGATACTTTTCTGTTTAATCATTATTTTATCTAATATAATTGTAGTAAATAACTGATTACCAGAAACAAAATCTGTGTTAATACAGCTGACTAACACTGACTGCAGTGTTTGTGTGCGGAGCTGCGTGCCCCGGTGCACTGAAACAGAAGGCGAGCCCCTGTGTGACTGTGTGTCTGCACCACCTGGTGATGTTGGGGACGGTTTTGGTGATGGAGTCGCAGAGCGTGTCGCGGCCGATCTTCAGCATGCAGCCCGTGATGAGCAGGAAGAACAGGAAGATGCCGCTCACCACTATCATCAGGTTCATCCACACGCGCTCCCTGAAACATGACAGGAGGAGCATGAAGCACAACGCAGGGAAGGGAAAGAGAAAGAGTGGGAGAATACACTTTTATTTTTTTATCGCTAAATCACATTTTATTAAGGTTTCCAGGTCTGTAAGGGTAAAGTAAATTAACTGTGCTAAAAGCCAGAATAACAAAGGTTTTATTGGGTATATTTCATTTCTAACAGCAGGTTGCTGTAATTTCTGGCCTGTTCCTCCCTATGAAGCTGCTAAATGGAGAGGTCTGTTAGCCAACATGCACACACACGTCTGCCCACATCTTCTCTATATGAAACTGAAATCAGGAGTTTTTGATGCCTACCTTCAAAATATTAACCGTTAAGTAGGACGTATTTCTGAGACTCATTTATCCTCAGGCTTTAACTTCCAGGCTGATGTCTAATAGTGTTTTAACATAATGCTTTTTCCCCATGATGCAATCTATTCTGTGCAGTGCACCAGTCTCTAAACAAAAACCTTGCTTTGCTTCTTTTCCAGCTGTACCTTTTAAGTCGACTTGTCAGCGTTAGACATTGCTCTTCACTAGAGAATAGACTTTAACCCTGACCTTAATATTGTTCCCCCATTTTCTTTCCTTATCATGTGATATAAGCTTTGTTTATGTAATGCAGTGGATGCAAAATGTGGTTACAATTATTATAAAATAGAGGATTAGCTCTTTAGTTGCTGTCTACTCTCCAAAAAGAGGGACAGTTGGGTACAGGTAATTAAACATGAGCCCATCCTGCAGCTGTGGGAGGCGGGACAGATAAATATCTGAGTGACCTGCATGACGCACACATCTGGACCAGACTGAGTAAATTAATGAGATGTGAATAAATAGGTAATATTTAAAAAATACAATTAATGCAAGGAGAGCTTCTGTAAATAGTCCCTGCCATTTATGAAGCAAACACTGGTTAATTACCCTTACAGCAGATTTAACCAATTCTAATGAATTCTACATTATTTAAGGTACTGCTACTAGAGCTAGGTTTAAATTAATTTAAAATGTTAATTATTTTATTTTTTTTATTCAATTTTGAGCTCTGATTCTCAAATCTATATTAGCTTAAATTAGTTTTTAGTATTTATTTGCTACTTTAGTTTTAATTTTTTAAGAATCCCTAGTATCAGCTCAGGTTTCATTAGTTGCAGTTTCAGTAATACAACCAACATACCAGAGGAAAGTAAAAAAAACATCAACAAACAAAACAAAAAAAATCCCTGATAAGGATGGACAGTGCAGCAAAAATGAATAACCTCACTGCAGAACCTGCCTCTGCTGGCTGAATGCAGAAAAGAAAAAAGAAAAACAAAATCGAAGCAAGTTCTCTATTAAAATTTCTGTTAGTTTTCATTCGTTTTAAAACTCATTTTAAGTTATTATTCTTTAGTTTAAATTTTCATTCCAGCTAACGTTTTTTTATTTTTTTTATTCCAGTTTTCAATATTTTATTAGTTTTAGTTAAAGATAATAGATGCAGTCAGTGCATGCAGTGCGGACCAAGGCACTGACAGCACATGAAAGGGACGCTAGACTCGAAATGTTAAGAATGAATCGATACCAAGCCCTACTCGGATCTAGTCTACATGGTTTGGTTTCTATTACAATTAAGGATCAGCGGACCACCATGGGGGGGGAGTGGTGGCCTAGTGGTTAGGGCACAGAGCTTTGAATCCTGAGGTTCTGAGTTCGAGCCCCACTCCCACAGACTGCCACTCTGGGTCCCTGAGCAAAGACTCTTAACCTCTGATTGCTCCTCGGGCGCCCCACGATGGCAGCTCACTGCTCCCTCAGGGGATGGGTTAAATGCAGAGGTAAATTTCTCCAATTTGAAATCAATACAGTTCAGCTATTATTATTATTATGTCAATGTGGGCGGAAAAATCAAAAAGCAAGGCACCATCACAGTCCAAGAAAGTAACATACTCAGTCTATGACTGTTTTATCAAGAAGATATTTGCTATCATAAAGTGACCTAATCAGAGACCTACATCTTCTGGCTTTGCACATTCAACACCCACTGATACAAGTGGAACCAAATTGAACTTTTATTGGGAAAATAGCCTAAAAGGTGAGCAGAGCCAAACCGAACTGCAATTTGGATGAGTTAAGAAAAACACTTATCTCCGAGTGCTTTTTCCAAAGTTTGATCACCTTTTTTTTTTTACTTGCTTTTGGATTAGTGGCGTCTTCCTTCCTGAGGGGCATTTTGGTTAATATTGGTCCACTTTATTTTCTTCCAGATGGCTTTAACAGATTTCTTTCGATTTTCGCAGCGGTCAGCCGTTGTTTTTGATGTATTTCTTTAAAATACGCCAACAACAAGGAACCCTTACCTGCAAATATTGGGATTGAACCTAATGTTTCTGAATGTTTACAAACAGAGAAATCTTAATATAGTCAGAATCCTGACGGTGAAAGAAACAAAATAGAAAACACCATCTAAGTTCTGTCTATTTAGGTTTTTTTGTTTCTACAGTTAAGTTATCCAACACAAAACCCAACATTGAAAAAAGATAGACTCAATAATGAGTATAGCTTTCAGGAAAAAACAAAAAACTGTCTTGCTTTTTTTTTTTTGCAACTTAATTATCAAGAGATATTATGGTCCAAGGTAGGAAATTTAATATAATTAATTTATCACTCAGAGTAGTGTTCTTTCAGATGTAACTAGAAATACAGCATATATATTATGGATATCAATTCTTTGTAAAAACCTAAATGAACAACAGAAGTTTAAAGGAAAATTAAGCGCTTGGTTTAATGGATTAATCGCTTTATCTGTCTTTTACTTTGGGTGTTGTTTGGCGGTGATTTACACAATAAAATTATACACAGAAACATTAGTCACCTTCTCATCTCTCCCTCCATGCAGAACATGTAAACCCCGTACAGAGACAGGGAGAAGCACACCACGGCCACCATGATGGATATGGCTGACACAAAGTAGCACAGAGAGGCAGAGGTGGATGTCTGGACTCCAACGAGCTTTGCTGTTGCATTGTAGCTGACATGTCCATACAGCATGCACAGCCCACCGAAATTACCCTGAAACAGAGGAAAAGATGGAAGTTAGCTTTGTCCTTACATGCCCCTTTCCCACTGGCCGAAAAACCCATTAAACCCGGGAACAATCGGCTTTTAGTGGCAGAGGGAACAGCTCAGTGACCCGTGTCTAACCTGATCAAACGACTCGGCAAGCCTCGGCTCTGATGGGCATGCTGTGGGAACAACAGAGCCGGGTTGACCCGCTAAATTACGTGACACCATTGAACGCAACGTATGGACATCAACACACTTGTGTCTGATCTAACAAGCTGGAACAACTCTGTTTACATTCAGAGAGGGATTCAGAAAGATAAAAGAGCGAAAACAATAAAGCACACTTACTATGCCCTGTAAGTGTGCTTTCCCTATTTCTGTTGAACTGGTGACAGCATCAAAGCTAACCCAGCATGATGGTGTCACCAGACACGCAGCTTTTATTGGGTTAGACACGCCTTTTTTTGCCTGTGCAAATGGACCCAAGCAACCTTTCCCTCTGAATCTTTTCAGTGGGAAAGATTCTATAGACACACTTTGGGTTTAAACAACAGCAGAAAAACAGAGAGTAGTGTGGAAGTCAGTAAGTGCCAGGTTCCAAAATAGTAAAACTAAAAATACAAAAAAAATAAAAAAATAAATGCTGCTGAAACATAACGTTTCACGGGTCCCAAAGGCATCTGACAACTCAGACTCACTGTTAAGTCAGACAAGTGTCTAAAGCACCAACAGCGCTCCTCAAATGTCTGCAAGCTAGCTCCCCGATCAGGATATCTGATTGGTTGACGACGCGCCAAAGTTTCAGGGTTTCCAACTCTAGTGAACGAACATCAGATGGTTGTTATCTCAAAACCCACCGTGCTTGATGCCTGGAGATGATGACATTCCAGGAGACGTGTAAACATCATGCTACTTGGCAGGTTTAATGCGCTGCTGTTGCCCATACATAATCTAAAACAGGTTTTAGATGCATTCCTGCTCCAGCACTGTCTCATGTAAAAAACTCCAATCAGAGGATTCCTCCTGAGTGTGTTTTCCTTTCCACTGTGGCCACATGCATGCTTAGTTTGATGTATTGCTGCAAGGTCACTGAAAAAATACAATCAATTTTGATTCTTTTGATAAAAAGACTTGTCAGTTAAATGCAAAAATGAATTAGACTGCACTGTTTGGTTAATTATGACCAGACTGAATTGACTACATATTTCTTTTCCCAAACTGGTTTTGTAAATCTTATCTTTAGGTAATATTTGTCGTGAGGTCTGCCTGATGTTGATGTTGCTGCACATTGACTGTCAACTGGCCAAATGAAAGTCTAGAACAACATTTTATTTACCAGAAAGATACACATGGATGCCTGGTTGCAAAAAAACAAAACATAAAAAACATTAACAGGCAGAACAGAAAACAGAAAGAGTCTTAAACTGGTCCAGCCAACCAAATTGAGAGACTCCAACATGGACCTGAATTGGTTGTTTGCCAAAAAAATAAAACAACAAAAAAAGCACAAGGCCAAAAAAAAAAAGAAGAAACAAAATGTGGTTCAATAGAAACAACTGTTTGCAAAAGAAATTAAGCAGCCTCTTAATCAGTGAAATGGATGATTATTGCAAACAACAATCTTTATGCCATCACTTCTTTAAAACACATCCTTAGCATCATGTTAAAACGCCTGTGCTGAGATAATATATATATATATATATATATATATATATATACTATGTGTTTATGTGAACACAGTGATGATGCTAGAGGATGTTCCTCTCTTTGCATCCCTCACAATCACATCTCATACCACCTATCATCAGACAAAATTATTTTTTATTGAAATATAAATATATATATACATACATAGGCCTACATATATATATACTGTGTATATATATATATATATATATATATACACTGTGTATATATATATATATATATATATATATATATATATATAAAAATAAATCAGAGAGAGGGGGGATAGAGGGATGGGCGTTACTAGCCACAGTCACAAGACTCAATTATTACTGGCGCACATGTTCACATTTTCACCAGCATTTCCTGCATTTTCAAGGAAAACAAGCTTTACAATAAAACCGGAACATAACAAGTTTCATACTTTTTCATGACTGGTGCTAAATGGACGGATCCTCTCATTTTGCTGTTTAATAGTTTGCAGCACATTTATTATAAAGTTTTTCTTTTAAATTGAGTCTGTTAAGCTGGAAATCATCAGAAGGTGAAAACCTTTACTGATGCAGCACAGAGGAACGAGATGAACAAGTGTGGAAAAAACATGGATATCTTTAAAAGATGAGGCATTCTGTTTACTTTAAACAACGCTTTCCCTTTTGGTTCCGTGTTTTCAAAACTTTTTCCACTCCCTACAGAAGAGAAGTTGATCCGGAAGTTTGAGCGGTCCGGTTGGAGCCAGGAACAGAGGGGGTTGTGGGTAAACTCACCTGAACGATGGTGAGGGAGGCAGCGGCCACGATCCCACAGACGAAGCAGCTGGCGTACAGACACAGCTCCAGCAGCAGCAGCACCGACACCGCCATCATTCACCCAGCGGCCCGCTTCTGGACAAGGGGCACCACCGTCAAGCCCAATGACGTGCAGACTGAACACTTCCTGGAAATATTTTCAAAATAAAAGTAAAAACTTTAATATTAATAAATGATATTTTATTAATTCCTAATATGTAATCCACAATTACAATTTGTTTTAATGACAACAATCGTAAATTACTGTAATTTGTAAGGGTTTTAACTACCTTCTAATACCGTATACTCTGCTTCCAAATAGCTTGACCTCCTGGCTCAGCAGTCTGGCTTTTTTCTCAGAAATCTGACTTTTTCCTCAGAATTCTCACTTTTTTTCTCAGAATTATGACTATTGTTCTCAGAATTAGACTATTGTTCTCAGAATTCTGACTTTTTTCTCAGAATTCTGACTTTTTTCTCAGAATTCTGACTATTGTTCTCAGAATTATGACTTTTTTCTCAGAAGTCTGACTTTTTTTCTCACAATTCTCACTTTCTTTCCTCAGAATTCTCACTTTTTTCTCAGCAGTCTGACTTTTTTTCTCAGCAATCTGACTTTTTTAGCTGTCAGAATTCTGATGGAATTCTGTCAGCTAACAAACATGTTAGCATCAAGCTGTAGCCATGTCTGTTTTAGAGACTAGCTCTCTTGTTTTATTCACCTTCTGCTCTTCCATTAATGAAATAGCATCAACGGGGTAAAAATTCACCTAATTCCGTCATTTTCCACCAATGTGTTACTGGCCCTCCCAAACAACTCACATCTTTGTCAGTGAAGCTGAGTGCTCCCACATCTCTTCCTTCATGGTGCCCATCTACAAGATCCAAAATTCTGAGATTAAAGTCAGAATTCTGAGAAAAAAGCAGAAGTCTGACTTTTTTCCCATATTTAACTGAAATAAAATTAAAAAATCAGATAATTTTTTTTTTCCAGTGGCCCTAATCCTCTTCCGTACATTTCAGAAACTAAGTAAATACATTTTTTTTTTTTTAAGAGTTGAAGAGTTCTTTCAGGTTTGCCCAATACCTGAGGAATGCCTCATCCTTCAGTATATCAATTGATGATCTATTCCTACATGCAAAGATTTTTAATTATTTGATAAAAATATGACATTGTTATTAGGGTTTTCCAATATTACCGTATATCGGAAATCTGCCAGGAAATGAATAATGGCTTATATCGGTCTGCCTCTAAAAATCTCTGATATTTTAGAGCTCATTCTGTCTGTCTTATTTAAAGTTTATATATCTATTCAGTGATTAATAAATGGATGGGTTTATTTCATACCTGATGTTTTAAACTATTGTTCTCAGTTGTTGATCAAGCATTTTCTATCATTCCACACTATAAAATAAGTAGTAAAAGTATGTATGCTTCATGCCGAGAATGTATCAGGTCAGTATTGCTATGGGTCAATACTCAAAGCTGCAATATCACTATCTTATCAGAAATGAAAAAAGTTTTTGGGACAGCCCTAATTGTTACGTTAGGTACTATGGTTATGTCGTCTTTGGTAGTTTTTGTATTTACTTTCAAACACGAATAGGAAGTAAAACTATTCTGACAATTTTGTCAAAAGCAGATCATAGTTGCTTTCTTTCCCTTTTTGTTCTCTAACTCACCCTTAAAGGAGCAGTGTGTAAAATTGTTGCCATCTAGTGGTGGGCTAAATGAATTACAAATGGCAGATTAGTGCCTCCTCTTTAAATGCATAGTGTAGAGCAGACTTAGATCTGACCAATCAGAGGCCTCCTGTCCATTACATTTGTGTTCACTGCGACACACGCAGACGACCTGGTTTCTGATCATAAATCAGCCTTAAGCGTGTGAGACCTGCTAAGGAGGCCATGGAGTGACATTTATCAATAGCAGCTAATAAACGTTGCATCCGAGCTCATCCAATGTTAGCCAACAATGTAGCCATCTCTGCCTTGTTTCTAACATAACAGCAAAATAAACTTCACTGTTATAGTGAATTACATTACCTGTCTAGTAAAAGCCCTGTAACCTCATAGTCCACTTTGAAGTCCACTCCCTTATAAAGTGTCTCCACCTTGTAAAATCTACACCAATGTTGTGTCATCAAGAGGAATAAGTTCTTGGACCAAAGAAATTCTAATGTCCTTTCATTTTAATTTGGAGGATAGAGTGGAAGTTCGCTAACTAAGGCAATGCAGATATGACTATATAACATGCAGTAGTGACTTTCAACGTTTTTGATAAGAATTAAGCAGCTCACATGGAGTGCATCCAGAGAAATATGAGCAGTAAACTATTCCTTAATTCATTGAAACTTTATCAACTAAAACAAAGTTGGGTGCATAACTATAAAGTGCAAAGAAAATAGTTTTGAATTTTGCTTCACAAAAAGATAAAAAAAAAAAAAAAAAACTGAACTAAAAAATAAGGATCTCAAAGAGGACTTTCACTTAAAGGTAAACTTTAGTACACCCATCTATTAAACTTAGCTTAAACACAACAGTCTCTAACATCCTGTTGTTGTCACAAAAAAAGGTCCAGTGAAAGAAAACATAAATCAATTTTCAACTACTGTATCATATCTATGAACATACTTACTGTTTATATAATGGTACAGCAGTTAAAATAAGGGTTTAAATTGCTTAGATGAGAAAAAGTTTGGCTAGCAAGGCTAAAAGGTTTGCAAACAACAATTTTGATCGAAGGATATGCATGCAATAGAATGTCCTAGTCAAAGTCTAAATAAATATAGAGATTTTTGACCAGCCAGACAACGAGGAGGTTTTCCATATGAGTCCAGAGGGAAAAGTGATCATTCAGTCAGAACAGTCATCTTGTGCTAAACTCTTGCCACGATTTCTGCAGTTTATTATTTCAGAGCACTTCAGACAAGCTACTTTCACCCGTTGTATTTTGTTTTATGTGTTTTATCATTTCTTTATGCAATACGTGACGTTTGGATTTAATTAACACCATTGAGCCTCCCATGTTTAAGAGAGCAGCAGCTGAACTCCATCCATTGCGCTTTGTGGCTAAATTAATAAATCAGTAAAATTAGGAAAGTTTTGCACATAAAGTACAGAGTGGTCTGAGGAATGTGTATATATATGTCAGGTCCAAGTTTCTGCTCTAGTCCATGTATGTAAAAACAAAACATCCCATACAAACAAACGCCTTGCCTTATATTTGAGAATTATAGTTTCCGAGTGTTTAAAAGCCCACGTTAAACCCATCTTAACTCACCTTTAGTTGTCTGGTTGTGTTGAGCTTTTATTTTGAAGGTAAAAATTATAAATGCCCAGCTTTGTTTGCCTGCTTTCACTCTAACTGTTAGCCTCCACAGCCACAGTCCAGCCTTTAGGATCCTTCTTCCATATGCAATAAAGTTTAATTTCTCCCCTTGATCCACTCAGCTACACAGATACTCTGTACAGTCCCACACAAAGGCATGAAAAATCCTTTGTCACAATGCAGAAGCAATGTGACACTTAGATACACTTATTTCAACACTTCCTGAAAGCGAGCAAGCTGACTTTCAGTGCATAACCTACAGAATCCAGCTGATCGATATCTTCTACTAACTGATGGGTGACTGTGAACTACTTAGCTTTGAGGATCAGCATAACAAAGGCAGAGTCTGGTGACCAGACTTGATTATAAGTTTAACAGTGTGAGGTTTGAGGCATGAAACTGCAGTACATGACGGAAAGTGGGGCTTCTTCTCTTCCACAAGGCTTAATTGTACCTTGTGACTTCTGTCATTTGACTCGGTCATTTTCTTCTATATATGCGGTATGACACAACTTAAATGCTGACCGCCCCAAATGACCTTGTTTAGCAGAAAACGTTTAATTTATTAATATTTGAATGTTGTTTCACTAGACTGTGTAGTTAGGATTTCATTGATATATATATATATATATTTATATATATATATATATATATATATATATATATATGACATTGATTTATATTTCAAATCAATGTCATAATTTTAAGTTTTTCAAATTTTTATAAACTTTTGTCATTTTCTAATAATTCTATTGGCAGCTGATTTTTTCTGTCTCAAATGGATGTAAACTTTCAAGTACAACTGTATGTAGCTTATACTTAACTGTGGAACACAGAATTGTTTAAGTTTATTTACATTAAAGGGCTTCTCATATATGTGATAACTCCACTACTTTCTGTTTTGGTTTAAGTCCGGAGTTTGACTAGACCGCTCTAAAGCATTTCCTGTATTTTGAACCAGTCAGAGGTAGTACTGCTGTTGTTCTTTTGATCGTTGCTGTTTAACTTGAACAGGACCCCATGTCAAGAACTGATGACTGGACTTTCAGATTGTTTTAGGTGAGGATTGGTCTTAATCTTAGATGGATGTCCATTTTTTCGCAGGTCTCTTTCTTTTTGTCTGACTTTAACCTAGGCATGTGAGGCCTCCTATGCATTAATTGTTGTTTTTTTTAAACTTCTCATTGAATCTGATGCACTCCAAGAATAATTATAATTGGGAGGGTTCACTTCTTTTCTTTGTCTGGCTCCTGTTTTGGGGTTTGCATTTTGGACTGGGCTGCACTCAGTCACTGTTCCTGCTCAAAACTGGGCAGCTTGAAGTGGCGGCGATGAAAATAAGCCCCTTTAAAGTTAGAGACCGGAAAAAGTGTATTTACTCTCTCCAGTTCCTGTGTCAAGCAGAAGAATATAAGTACCCTGGAGTGTTGTTCATGGGCTAGGGGAGAATGTAGCAGGACAGACAGATTGGTGTTGCTGCTGTAATATGCAGATTACTGCAGGATATTACTGATCAGTCTGTTGTGGTGATCAGAGATCTGAGCAAAATGGCTCTGGTCACGATTTACTGGTTAGTCTATGTATATTCTTACCCACACCTATGGTCATGAAACTTGTGCATTATATGAAAGATTGAAGTTGCAGATGAAAGCAGCTAAATACAGCTTCTTCCTGACCTTGATGGCTTGAGAAGAGTTGCTGCTCCTCCACATAAAGAAGAGTCAACTTAAGAGGCATCTTTTTTCGGATGCCCCTTGATGCCTCCCTCTTGAGATGCTCCAGGCATTCCTTACCAGTGGAATTCAGGGCACACCGCATGGGCTATGTCTATAGTCTGGTCTGGCAATGTCTTGAGGTTTCCCAAGAGGAGCTGGTGCAGGTCTCTGGTGAGGGAAAAGTCTTGACATCTCTGTCAAGTCTTCTTCCCCTGCGACCGCATCCTGAATATATGGATTACTAAGGGTACAAGTATTGAAGGGGAGTAGTGGCCTATCGGTTAGAGCAGAGTGCTGGTGTTCTGAAAAGGTTGCAAGTACAGCCAAAGCCCCATTTACACTACCCTTTTGAAACTGTGCCGAGAATGGTCCAAGCATGGTACCCCAGCTAGGTGTTGATAATAAATGGGACGCAACTGAACTGGACCGTGCTAAAAACAACCAAACCGTGCTAGATCTAGTGGTAGTTCAACAGTAGGGCTTGTCACAGCTCAGCGGTGGCTCCGTTCTCTGATAACAAAGAACGCATGAGCAGAGCACATCATCTCCTATTTACAGTCAGCTGACTCATTCCCATGCCTGGTTTGCAATTCACAGATCTCTTCACCTGTTCACAACACGAACTTCTTCTCAGCCTAATAATAATAAATGGCATCAAAAGAGCGTGGCGCAACCTGGAAATAGGCAGAGACTGAGGCTCTCATTGAAATTTGGGGGGAGGACGCTATCTAGGCACATAAGATCTTTAATGTTATGGACACCGCCATTTTTGTTTGCATAATTCCTGCCTTGAAAGCTGTAGTATCATGGACCGCCGAAAGGAGGTGAGGAACCTTGCTAGCCTGATGTGTAAATGGTTGTAAGGAACCAAGTTCGGCATGGTTAACTGATCCAAGCTCGGTCTGAACTCGGTAGGATTAGTTTCAGAGGGGTAGTGTAAATGGAGCAATAAATTAAATCCTAAAGCTTGCCATTCCAGCTGCCTACTGTGCTCTCTGGGTGCTTCAAGCTGCTCGTTGCTCTCTTGAGTTAAAAGCAGAAGTACAGTTTCATTGTAAAGTACCTTTTAAGTGACAAAAAAGTAAAAAAAATAATAAAAAAAGCAGCTTTTACAGGCTATTGTTTGTTGTAAGGGGCTAAGGCAGGCATTCCCAAAGTCGGCCCTTAAGGGCAGGTTTTTTTCTGCTTTAGCACAGCTAATTGTGATGATTGCAGGTCAGCAAAAGCCTGTTAATCAGCCATCAATGAAAAGCAGCTGTGCTGAAGTAGGGAAACCTCTAAAACCTGCAAGACAGCGGCCCTCAAAGTATCATATCCCTAGAGGATTTCAGTATATACATGTCTTTAAAGCACTTAATCTTCTGCACCCTTTTTTAATTGTAGACTTCAAACTGTCTTTTTTTCTCAGGTTAAATACTACAAGCATCTTTGTAGCAGTTGTATGCATTTAACCTTTTCACATGCATGCATGCACATGGCAAATTTTTTCTGTAATTGATGTCAAATCTCCATTTAATCCCTAAGTATTTTAAGCATTGCATCCTTTAGACAAGTGCTCACATTTATTGTTATCATTCCAATGATCCCCTCCTTTATTAGGAAAGTGTTTGCCTTAGTTTGTGGTGTTCCCTCTGAATGAGAATCAGCTGCTCTATCACAGGGTTCATAAACAGCTGACCCCGATTAACAAATTGAAGCAAATTCTTAGATATGTTGGAGGAAGAATAAACGCCGTCCACAATTGTCACCATTGGGAAAATGTGTAAAGAAAATAATTAGATTTTTACAACATTTGCTTTGAGTTTAGAACAAAATGAATGATAACTGGAGCAAATTTAATATTTTATTTCAAAATTATGTTTCTTTTTAGTTGATTTAATGGTGCCACAATTACTTATAGACCTTAGGGGAGATCCTTCTACCTGGATATATCGGGATTTTCGGTTGACAAAGTTGTCAGCTATTACAAGTTGTCCAAATACTGTTTGTTTGCAGAAAATGCCACAAAATGATCTTATGTTATTAAATGGATTTGCAATAAAGGCAACCAGATTTTTTCCCTCCATTATAAGAGAAACAAACAAGGTTGTGTTTCAATGTTTCTCTCCTGCATTTAGTCTAATCAGGTTTTAGGTAAACAAGTAAACAAATCACACCAAACAACTGACTCTACTGTCCCAGAGGACGAACGGGCAGGTATTTTATTTGCATGGGACATTGGACCTTGAGAGGATCCCATGTGCTTTAAACAGCAGCTTTGAAACTTCATGTGGCTCAATCCGATAAAGGGGTTAAAATATAGTCCCAAAAATGGAGCAAAAGTCTGCTTGAATCAGTTGAAACTTAGCTGCAGTTGCCCTAAAGAATATGCCCAGATGAAATTTCATGGGAGTTTGATCAACCAATAGGGCTTTAGGCGGAGTTGCGTTATTTAATTCCAATTTTTATTTATAATTTCATTGAGAAGTTTGAAGCTTAGTATGTGCTTTTTGCAACAAAGACTGAATCGTTTGGTTTAAATGAAAGAAACAGAAATCACATCATTTCGAATGTTAAGAAAAATAGAGGCTTTGTATAAAAAAACACATTTCATTATGTGTGCTTGGTATTACTTTAATTAGCTGATAAGACATGAAGATTCTGTAAAGTTCAAATGAGGCCACAGATCAACAGCAAAGACTGCAGCACATTCTGTACAATATGAAGAAAAAAAACAACTATAATCTGGGAAACTTGAATTCACATCACACACTTCACATCACAAATAATCAAATCAGTGAAATCTGTTTGAAGATTAAACAGTCACAATATACAATATTAAAAAAACAACTGTTCTGTAAACAAATGTTGGGATATCTTAACTTCTTAATGTCAGCTTCACATTCGAAGAATACAAAATATATCAAAAGTGAGAGTACATAAAATAAAACACCAAAACATGAATATAGCGCGTTTTCAGATTCCATATGTCTCAACAGGTTTCTGTGTTGGGTACAACTTTGTTTCTCATGCACAAAGTCTGTACAATAATTACAGTTTAAGCAGCTTTACTTTTTAGTCTCTCATAATAGCAAAAGATTTTTCACTAATAGTTTCAGGATAGATTAAAAAGCTGGAGGGAAATTCTGACAGAAGAAACTAAACCCACACATAAACATTTAGGCTTCATTCTTAGCAATATAAGGTAACACAATTTTATTCATAAAAATCTTCATTTCTTTTATGTTGAATTAATACATTATGCAGCTTTTTAAAAAGGAAACAAACAGAATATACCCTGTAAAAAGCAGGAAACTTCACTGCAATTTAATATTTAATTGGATTGAATATTACAAGGAAACACAGAATATTACAAAAACATGAAGTTAAAATGAAGATGATATACTGTTTGTATAACATAAAAAACTAATCTGAAAAGTGTGGTTTTCATCGATATTTAGTCCTTTTACACTGATACCCTGCATTCATGTAATCAGAGAAGATAAAAATTATATTTCATCAGTCGACAAAAAGATTGATGTAGCTAATTGTAGGAGTGTGGGTAGGAGGTTAACCTTTTTATGAACTAATTTTCATTTTTATTGCGATTTGAATTACTTGCATGAATTAATTTTTTTCTTTAATGGGAGGGTTTGTAAACTTTCAACCACAACTGTATTTATCGTCCCTCAGTGAGTTCTGGGCCTTCTCTTTGGGTCCCTCCACGGTTGGACCTACGAGAAGACCTACAGAGAGAGGTGACCACCCATACTAATTTATCTGACTCCCTTTAATGCAGAGCTCTACTTTAACCTCCCTGAGATCATGGAGGTCTCCTCTCCCTGCAGAGGAATCTGATTTCCAACCTAAAGTTACACAGACTGGTAAATTAAGAGCTTTGCTTTTAGGCTCTGCTCTTGCCTAACCACAAGAGACCTTCCTGAAATATAACAGCAGAGCTACAGTTTAATGCTTTAGATATCCCTCTCAGTGATACCCAGGCCAGTGATTGCTTTTAGGGAGTACTGCTAACAATGGCATTTCTAGAACAAGTTTAATGAGGGAGCAGGGTGAGGGTAGTGTGTAGTGATGGCGGGAAAAGACATTAAAAAAATGAAACAAAAAAGATAGATTAAGTGAGCCAAAGAGCCGTTTGCAGCTCTGGAAACATCAGATCTAGCAGGTGAAAACTGTGATTCTATTTCAATATCATTGAAGCAAAAAGTTCAAGAACTTAAATTTTAAATTATCAATCAAATAAAACTGTAAGAAAAAAAAAATGGCCCAAGAGACATATCAGTTGTGGTTTCTGTTCCAGTGCATGTCATAATTAACTTCTCATACATTTATTTCATATTAAGTCTTTAGTACAGGTGCCAGGACCAGTTCTACAGATGCACTGGCCCCTGTTGGCCTCTGTCTCATGACCCAACCCAATTAGCTCAAACCAGCTGCAAATTTTGTAAAACTTTAGTATTGTCTGAGAGACATGGCAACAGACCAGTCCAAATGACACCAAAAATCAAATAAAGCAGTGTTTATATAAACTACATTTTACTGCTTGGACTCACTACCTTTTATCTGCACGGCAACCTTGGAGTAGATTTACAGCATCATTAAATGGATAAGAATGTTTCAGTTCTGCTTTTTATGACACAACACAATAAGCTAGTAAAGTCCAACTCTGCCTTGATGGTGATATTAAACAATGGTGAACCTCTGGTTTAGCCTCATAGGAGCTTAATACAAATACATACCAACGTTTTTCATTTAAGAATGTTAAAAAACAGTTGGTTTGTCTTCCATTTTGCCATTATGGATTACCGTACTCTATGTTGATCTATCAAATACATTTGCAGCAAAATACATTTTGGTTTGTATTTGCAATCTAGGGCTGGGAGTACTTATACAAAATACTGTTCATCAGTCTTTTTCATTTTAGTAACAGGGAATGATTCTAACGCTGCACCAGTAAAGTGCAGCCTCACTCATGTACACAAACACCTTATAAATCAGTGACTAAACAAATAGTAAGATGTTGCTTCAGCCCCCAGGTTTAGCAGTTTTATCCAGCCTGAAATGTAAAACGTTGTGTGTTCTGGTAAGCCTGGCTGCAGAGGAATGTTTGCAGAAGGAATTCTTTCTCTGTCCCTTTTAATTCAGTGGTATGGGCAAGATAAGTGCAGTCACAAGACTCTCATTGAAACATTCAGCGTGTCCAGTGTCTTTCTCGTGTTGATGACGTATGCGTTTATACCCTAAATAATAGTTTTACACCTCAAACTGAGCACTTAGCCAATCAAACACACAGTTTGACAGTTTATTTAAGCCTTGATAACGATGTACCCGAGCATGCATGGGCGTTCATGTACAGGAAAAAGACACAGATCAGCGGTCAGCCCACCGGACAGCCTGGCATCCTGAAGGCATCCGGCAGAGGACTGTCGAGCTTGCAGATGATTTTATATATCCCTTTTTTCCAGCAGGGATCGCTGTCTCTCCCAGTCCATATGGCTGAGTAAAACTCTCTCAGAGCCACTTCGGACACCTCGATAAACCTCTCTGGAACCTGCAAAAAGAAACAAAACAGCAAAGTAAAACCCTAGTTTAGTAGATAAACAGTTTATTAAAGAAGATATCTGGCTTTAATATAAAAAGACCTAGATTTTACCAGTTAATAAAAATGAATAACAAATGCATAAAAACAAATAATATATCTTCAAGATTTTTAAGTTAAAAAAACAAAGTACACATCACTGTTTAGTAGCCTAGTATTGTTTCACATCACTGAGGTCAGCAAATGTTTTTCTGCAAATCTCTCTCAAGGTCCCAAAACAACAGCTGAATGGGACTGAGGTCTGGAATCACTCACCAAATGCAAACAAAAAGATTTTTTACCAGAAAATAAACTGAAATTATCTCCAATGTTTTTGTTTTTTTTTTTTTTTAGTTAGGATCAGATTGCAATTTATGTAATTTTCTTTAAAACTGTTAAGACGATTGGATTGAACTAACTATATATTTCTGTATATACATCTTCTTTTCATAAAGTGCCTTGAGACAATCTTTTTCAAGAATTCGGTAATAATTATAGACTGATTTATTCTAAATTAATAGGCTAAATACAGGTAAAAGCCAGTAAATTAGAATATTTTAAAAAACTTGATTTATTTCAGTAATTGCATTCAAAAGGTGTAACTTGTACATTATATTTATTCATTGCACACAGGCTGATGCAATCAATGGTTTATTTCATTTAATTTTGATTATTTGAAGTGGCAACAAATGAAAATCCAAAATTCCATGTGTCACAAAATTAGAATATTGTGTAAGGGTTAAATTTTTAAGACACCTGGTGCCACAAACTAATCAGCTGATTAACTCAAAACACCTGCAAAGGGCTTTAAATGGTCTCTCAGTCCAGTTCTGAAGCCTACACAAACATGGGTAAGACTTCAGATTTGACAGCTGTCCAAAAGGCGACCATCGACACATTGCACAAGGAGGGAAAGACACAAAAGTTTATTGCTGAAGAGGCTGGCTGTTCTCAGAGCTCTGTGTCCAAACACATTAATAGAGAGGCAAAGGGAAGGAAAAACTGGTCAGAAAAAGGGTACAAGTGATAGGGATCACCACGCCCTAGTCAAGATTGTGAAAAAAAAAAAACATTCAAAAATGTGGAGGAGATTCACAAGGAGTGGACAGCTGCTGGAGTCTGTGCTTCAAGATCCACCACCAAGAGACGCTTGAAAGACATGGGTTTCAACTGCCGCATATCTCGTGTCAAGCCACTGTTGACCAAGAAACAGCGCGAAAAGCGTTTCACCTGGGCTAAGGAAAAAAAGAGCTGGACTGCTGCTGAGTGGTCCAAAGTCATGTTTTCTGACAAAAGCAAAATTTGCATTTCCTTTGGAAATCGAGGTCCCAGAGTCTGGAGGAAGACAGGAGAGGCACAGGATCCACGTTGCCTGAAGTCTAGAGTAAAGTTTCCACCATCAGTGATGGTTTGGGGTGCCATGTCATCTGCTGGTGTTGGTCCACTCTGTTTCCTGAGATCCAGGGTCAACGCAGCCGTCTACCAGCAAGTTTTAGAGCACTTCATGCTTCCTGCTGCTGACCTGCTCTATGGAGATGGAGATTTCAGGTTCCAACAGGACTTGGCGCCTGCACACAGCGCAAAATCTACCCGTGCCTGGTTTACGGACCATGGTATTTCTGTTCTAAATTGGCCAGCCAACTCCCCTGACCTTAGCGCCATAGAAAATCTGTGGGGTATTGTGAAAAGGAAGATGCAGAATGCCAGACCCAAAAACGCAGAAGAGTTGAAGGCCACTGTCAGAGCAACCTGGGCTCTCATAACACCTGAGCAGTGCCAGAAACTCATTGAATCCATGCCACGCCGCATTAATGCAGTAATTGAGGCAAAAGGAGCTCCAACCAAGTATTGAGTCTTGTACATGCTGATATTTTTCATTTTCATACTTTTCAGTTGGCCAACATTTCTAAAAAAACACCTTTTTTTTATTAGCCTTAAGTAATATTCTAATTTTGTGACACACAGAATTTTGGATATTCATTTGTTGCCACTTCAAATCATCAAAATTAAATGAAATAAACATTTGAATGCATCAGTCTGTGTGCAATGAATAAATATAATGTACAAGTTACACCTTTTGAATGCAATTACTGAAATAAATCAAGTTTTTCAAAATATTCTAATTTACTGGCTTTTACCTGTACTCTTCAGCTATTTTTCTTCTTCCTGTTATAACATGTTCAGATTATTGTACATCATTTGCTAAGATTTACTGTAAGCGGTGCAGCTTTTCCAAATTTTAAGATGGTTCAAAAGAAAAAATAACCCCCCTTTTAGATTTTTCTCCAAAGAAAAACACCATATTTTTCATTGTGATTCTGAAATTCTATTCGTTTTACTTTTAAATGCCAACCTGATTGGATGTAAAGCTGTACAAGGATACTCTGTTTATAGCAGCATGTTTCAGACAAATTAAACTTGAAATTTCAAATTGCCCCTGTCATTTAGATGTAAATGTAGTGCACTGCTACTAACTATTATTGCTAAAGAGAAGATAAAAAATATGTTTTCTTAGTTTGGGGATTGTGTCAGAAAAGAAGGGTAAAGGGAGTGCTATTGACACGATCCTGTACTTTATAACACCAATGACTGTATAAATACACAGTTCTGGTTTGAAGTTAACAGTTAATATCCAGTCAAAGGCCATAGTAGTTTTAAGTTTTTAAAGAATATATTTAAACTGTGTTTTTTTTTCATAGTAGAATTATTAAACAGTCCATTTTATAAAATGGCTTTTAAAAACAACTATCCGAAGCAAAGGTTTGAACACATTGAGCATTTTTTTTTATTCACACAGTTAAAAATATAACAATATTTATGTATATACCCCACTATCAATTGGAAAAAATATTACTTAAAATGTAGAGGAAAAACTGCGCAAGCTTCTAATACAGACTATATGCTGGCTCTTCTTCTGATCAAGTTACTAACTTATGTACTTAGCAATACTTTGAGTGCTGATGTACATGGGTGTTAAAGTGGATTTTTGCCTGCTGTTTTTGTGTAGGTATGCATGTGTACATTTACATGTATATATGCAGATGTATATATTTATATATATGTGTATATATATATATATGTATTTAATTGTGTATATATGTATATATTTTATTTGTGTGTGTGGGAAAATTGGATAAAAAACATAGTAGCTTAAGAGGAAGGTTACTCTAAGTTAAGTGCAATTAGAGGGAGAGGGGGTATGAAAAATAGTTTTAATACTTCATGCCCCTTTCCAGACAATTTACATTAATCAATATCATTTCTCTGTCTGTATATACAGATATGTTTATTTGGTAGAAGGTTTTGTTTCTATTTATGTTCAGGTAACAGTAGTTTGTTTGCAAATTGATATTTGGTTTGGTTGATGTTTACTAGTCTCTTTTGTGTTTGTTTGGTTCATTTATTGTTGTTTGTTAAATTGTCGGAAATACATTTTTATTAATTAATCAATTAATTCATATCAAAGGTGGTTCATTTAAACTATGTAATATGTTATTTTTCAAACAGACTGAAACCAGGGTACCCTAAACATCATTGTTTCTAATGGCATACAGTTTAAGTGTATTTTATTATAGATGTGTTGATGGAACAACAGGTCATGATAGTTCCAACAAAAAGAACATCAAACACAAAGAACTAAGAGGTTGTCCTCCTTCTTCCTGTTGTTCGGATTTTGTGCAATGCACCATTACCACCGGCAGAAACACAGTCCCACCATGTTTGACCGTTGATACACCTTTTTCATGTTTGGAAATCTCACAATGAGTCATCCAAACAGTTCAATCTGTGTTCAAACCGATCATAAACACGTTCTCCTAAAGGCATTCACATTCTCCACATGTTCTACTGCAAGTTGAAGTTGGACTTAAATCCTCTTGGTAAGGATCATGTTAGTCCATCTTAAAGTAAACTGGCATCACAGTGACACTGATTTATCAGGATCTTACAATCTTTTCACCCCTGATAATTTGGGTGTTGTTCTTAAACATCCATCTATCCATCCTTTCACTTTTAACACCTGCTTATCTTTGCATTGTCACAAGGTCCATCTCTAGCAGTCATTGGGTGAGAGGTGGGTTACACTCTTGTGGTCTAACATAGGGTAAAAATACAGTCACACAAGACAAACTACATTTAAAAACTGACTTTTGATATGCTTAGAGCAATGGTTTCAGAACCCAGTCCTTCAACTTTCAAGTGCTTTTCTGTCTAAAATATCAGCTTATCAAGCTGATCTCTGTAGAGATTCTCCTGCACACTAGAGAGGCAGCTTACAGTAGCTATTCAATTTAGATGTTTACTTTTTGGGACACATAAAAGTTGAAGGACACTGGTACTCGAGGATTTGTGTTTAAAAACACTGGTTCAGAGGAAGCAGGAGGAAGCTGGTGTAGCAGGAGGGGATTGAGGCACAGATGTAGAGAATTTATAATAAAAAATGTGCAGAAAGATCAAAGGCAGGGATTTGGTTTCAGGATTTTTATTCTGCAAAACAACTGTCCTGACAACACCTCTGACATACAAACCATTCCTGAGCATCATGGGCCTATTTTTGCTAAATCTAGTTAAGTATAGATCATTTTGGTTCAGTAATTGTTCTAATCAAACACAAACCCAAAGTGATTTTGCAAAAGTAAAAAACATACAAATAAAAACATACAAATATTGAGCAATGACTACAACTTAGCCACATGGAAAACTGACAGGCTGGGTAAAACTGGGTATGTGCCAAAAAAAACAACTTAAATCGTCTCTACAAATTCTGCCAGATGGGTGATTAATAAACTATTAGCATAACATCAGAAGCTTAACTAATACAAAAATACAGTTATCCTTCTGCTACTTGCCAAGGGAAATCTTTCCCTTGGCAAGTAGCATGGCCGTGGGTGTCTCTATATATTAAACCATGTATGTACATATATTATTAACTATATTCAGATTTGAGAAATCTGCTTTAATTTCAGACTTTTGCATTTTTATTTAGAAAATATTTCATTCAGAAAATTACATTTTTCTTTACTTACAAATTCTTCCTGGTTAAAGACATAAAATAATAGAGAGTGTATGTAATTTCTGAGCCAAACTGAGTTTATGTAATATATGTGCCCTCAGTGCTCTGACCTGGTAGACGTTGCTCTTGTTGTAGTGCATGTTCAGTATGCGGTAGAGCTCCGTATCACGGCTCACTCGTAGCTGACTCTCTCGGCCCAGACGAGCTGCACCATCCCTGTATTAAAAAACATTCTCACTTTAATTCATATATACAAAAAAAAAACGGTGAAAAATCGCTCCTAAATACGTTATTTTTAAGCAGCTCAAAACATTTCCATTTACATCTATTGTATTTTGAAGCTGCTTTAATGATCGATGGTTTAAGAACCAGAGCCGACCATTTCTGATCAGAATTCATGGTATCTTCTAAACACACTTAAGCTGCATTACCAGCGTTTTCATCTACGGAGCATATAGTGTAATATCTGACCTTTTTCCAGAAGATGTGCATACACATCATCCAATGTGAAAGGAAGACTAAAATACCATAGCAATGAGCCCACCCCTGTGTCGATGTTCCATCTCCTGCAGAGATAGAGTTAAGAGGGAGTCAGTGCTGAGTGTAACCCACCGGGTGAGGGTGTCGCGGACAGCCTGGCGTGCAAATCGCTCCATCTGGATGTAGAAGAACTCCCTGAAGTTGCTGAACCATTTAATCATTTGAGAGGTCACGCAGCGGTTAAACTAGATGGCAGCAGAGGCAAGAGAAAGATGCTTGTTAGCTTTACTTACTTATTTACAATATTACATTTATACAGCAATAATATTTTTTCATGCACAAGGATGCACAAGGTATAAAACTTAATTTCAGGTTTATTAAAAATTATTATTAAAAGTAGGTCATATTTCCTTATAGTTTAAACACTGAGAGTAATGGAGTTTTAAAAAGCTATGTCTGTTTTATGTTTCAGGGTGATTTGGCACCACCTGTGCTGGCCAAGCCTGAACTCTAATACTAAAGATAATTTTGGTAGGGTCATAGCTTGATCACACTGCAAATGGTTTAAAATAAACTGCTCAATAACTTAGATAATAAACATTAAAAACCCTCAAAAACTTTAAGTGCATGTATTCATTGGAGGAAAATGCTGTGATTTTGTTAAAACCTTACATCTTATTAACGAGGTTTGTTTCCATCCAAATGAATCTGCTCATACTACTGACTAGAGTTTAGTTCACAGCAGTCAAATATTGCACATATTTACACATATTTAGAGGCTCTATGAATATGGCTGGAAGAGCAGGTTTAGCTAGTATTCGAGCCTTTGTTAAGAATTATCTGTAATGTAATAGAAACCTATAAAGCTGATAGCTAAAACATTTTGAAATGACAAAATAAAGCAAAGAGTGTAAGGAAGTAAGGGTTTCGCACACTTTGCCCATGGCCATACATCACGTAGATAATAGTAGTGAGTCTAGGTTGTTTTTGTTTAGTTTTTAAAAAAAAAATAAATCAATGAATCTCAGATAAGTAATTGTTATTTTCACAAAAACTACATTTCCTAGCAGGAAAACATGTTTTAAAACAGTTTGTTTCAATCCAAATTTTTTGAGATTACATCAGAGATTTAGGCTATCCTGGTCTGAGCTTAGTTTTGCTCAATACTCAGCCATCAAGCTGACGTCTCGAGATAAAAGGTACAAAAATTTATCCTAGTAAGATTCAAACACAGAACTATAATAGAATATTCACTCTGCATCAATTTTCTGTCTTATTCAAGGGGTAATACCAAAACCGATTAAGGACTATGAACTATGAGTGAACATCGATGGTGCTTATAGACACATAGATTGTTACCCAGAGTGATATTTTACATAAATTATATTTTACTTAAATGAACCCGGTGGATATGTGTAGTTTAATTTGATCCACACAGAATCCATCTGGAATGGCTCCAGCGGAAAGCGTTCACATAAGGGAGGGACATTCAGTGCAATTATTTGATCTAATTGGGTAGATTATTAAGTGGCACCTCCCTCCCATGCCGTGCTTTTAGCCAATCACAACAGCAGTAGAAGCTGTAATGTATCACATTCTTGATTTTTCCCAGCTAGCTGACTTAACTGATAAATCAAACTCTAACCAAATCTGGTTTGTAGAAGCGCAAAAATGTTTCTCATCCACAAATCGCATCCTTTAACTTGTTTAAAAAAAAAAGAAATACAGGGTATTTCTGCTAAAACAGACAGAATAGCAGAGTCTACAGCTAATTCCCCCGCTGCAGCCATGTTTGTTTTGCTTCAGCCTGCTGCTTCTGGTTGACGTCATACACATCAAAATTTTTTATAAGAGTTGAAACTATACCCAACACACAGACTTGATACAAATCAGATCATATGAGTGACTGTTGTAGCTGACATTAATCCCTTTTCTTGCAGATTTAGGACAGGATTCTCCTGTGTTGTTGAGTAGTGGACGAGCTCTCTGGCTGTATTATATCTATAAAGTTGTCTTTAAGGACGCCCTCCGTCATGCACTGGGATGATTAGCAACTGAGTCTGAAGATGGTAGGAATATTTTCCTTCAGGTCTGATGCTTGGAGTCTCCCCTAAAGTTGAAACAAAGTGTATTCCAATCTGTGCCTCCAGCAGAGGAGTATAGCTGTTTTGATGACTTGCTCAGGAGTGATAGTAGGCTTGACCAGATGATGGATGCATGACAGTCTAGTCATGGACCTAAATAACTAGAAACCATAGATGGATGGTTATATAAATGACACACTCACCTTGACTTCAGGGAAGTAGGTCTTGAGTGTGTTGGAGCTTGGATAGCGTGTGTAAAAGAACATGAGCTTTGCCTTCTTCAGATGGCAGGGAGACAATCCCTCCTGAGTGTAAACATGATAACAGCTAAGGACAAACGCAGACATGAGCAAACACAATCCTCTCTGTTACCCATTCAACAAACTGACAAAAAGGATATCCCCCCAGCTGTCAGGTAGAGCTCTCCTCCATCCATCCCGCCGCCTCCTCTGATGCTCCCATCTCCCCTCACACCTCTCTCCCTCTCTCTGACTCCGTGACGAGTCAGTGACGGGTCCAAGTGTCCAAGGAAAGGGAGTGGAGGGAAGGAGGCATGAGAGGAGAACTCCAGGAAGGGATCGGAGCCCAGGTAGTCCTTCCGGGACGGAGCGAGATGCGGGAGTTGTGGATGGTGGAGTGAGCGGGAGAAGAGCTGCTGCATGGAGTAGTGGAGCAATGGAAGAGGGAGAGGTGGGGGTGGAGGAGGAGGTGGGGGTGCAGGGAAGGATGATGAAGAGGAAGAAGATGATGAAGATGGGTGGAAGGAGGCGGAGGAGGTCTCTTTGGACTGTGAAGGTGGAGGTAAAAGTGGAGGGTGAGCAAGAGGAGTGGGTCGAGTCAAAGAGGGGTGATGCAGAGGGAGGTTTGGGTGAGAGGAGTTAATGTTGGTAGAGAGAGGAGGTGCGAGGAGGGGAAAGGTCTTCCGTGTGTCAGGTGACCTGTGAACAGCCAAAGGCATTGGCAGATCTGATTGTTCAGAGCAACGCGGCGGTCCAGGAGGAAGGCCGCCCCCGTTTTTTAATTTCTTAAGCTGCTGCTCTCTGTCTGCGTCCTCCTTCTCTTTCATCGGCTCCTCCACTCTCTCTCTTGTCAAAAGTCTCATCCAGTCCTCCCCCTCCTTCGCTGTGTCATGCCCCTGATCGGACGGCTGAAAAGAGATGGCGGCGGGAGGAGAGGAGTTATCGGTCATCTCTGTGTAAAGACGGAGAACTCTGTCAATGACTCGAGCCACAGCACTGCCCAGTTCTAGCTTTAGTGCCTGGGCAAACTTCTTTCCTTCCTCCTCGTCTTCGTCTTCAGTGCCTCCATCCCAGTCTGATCTCGTCAGACCTCCACACTCAACCCAAAGTCTCGATCCCTCCATGATTCCCTCCATGTCTCCTTCTCTTACTCTCTCTGTCCTTGTTCCTCTGTCTTTTTGCAAATGTTCTTTCCGTTTCTGGAAGTAGTCAAAATGGGAAACAGAAAGGAGGGAGAAAGAATCCTTCTCTATCTCCGTGGTGTCAAAGTCCTCCTCATCGTACATCTCCCCTGAAACGTCCTCTTCATCCTCTACCATCCCCTCATCTCCCTCTCCATCAACTTCACACCTGTTGCGCTTCCTTTTCTTCTCCTCCTTCTCTGTCTTCTCTCCAAATGCCTTCCAAACTTTCTCCTGCAGGGCCTGCAGTCTCTCCCTGGCCTCCTCCAGTTGTTCCTTTAGCTCCTCCTTCTCCCTTCTCCTTCCCTCTCTCTTCTTCCCACCTTCCTCAACCACCTTGTCTTTCTGCCTACACTCCAGCTTCATTCTTTTCACTTTCATGACATCTTGGCTCCACTCAGCCATCAGCACAGTGTCAGTGCACTTCCTTTTCACCTCTGTCAAGTCATCCTCTGCCTCCGTCATCCCTTCCCCTGCTCCTTCCATCCTTCCATCTATTTGACCGACAGTCACTTCTTCCTCTAGGCTCCTGCCTTCCACCTGTCTCTGCATGCTGAGGTTAGCTGTTAGGATCCCTCCGATCCTCCTTGGGCCTCCCCCTGGCTGAAGGAGATGGTGGATGAGGGGGAAACCAGGGGGTCTAAAGGCAGGAGCAATGTGAACTCCAGGGAGGTCTGCAGAAGACAGACCAGGAGTATAAGTACTTAGCTGGGGGGAGGAATCATCGAAAAGATCTGAAGGGGAATCCATCACTGAGAAGAGATAAAGACAGAACAAGGGTAATTCACATGACCTATTATTGCATAGCATTCTATAACTTTTTTTAAACAATGAAAGTAGCAAAACTAGTATTTATATTTATGTTTTTTTTTTGTGTAGCAACTGAAAACCTCAATGTATTTAACTGTGGTAATAGAAACAAGGTGCTGAAGTTCTTACGTTTGTTTCATAAGTTAAAACTAAACAAATGTAATGTGCATTCCCCTTAAGTCAGTTTTTTGTACAGTATAGCAACCCTTTTTTAATATTACATCTGCAAATATTTTCTTATTCTTTACAACATGGCTCAAGCTTAGTCAGGCTGGATGGAAACCTCCCTGAAGGAGAATTTCTGGACTGTGTGAAATTTATAACATATTACAATTATGCATTAATACAATTTCTTCCAATGCAGCTCTGGTTTTATGGTTAAGGTATAACTGTTTCTTCTCTATAACAGTCTTGTATATAGCTCCATCCATCTTTGTTGATTCTGACCACCCTCCTTATCCTTGCTAAAAAAAACAAACAAACAACAACAACAAAAAAAAACAACTGCATGCTCACCTCATAATACTACCACCACCATGTTAAGGATGAGAAGCAGTTTTTAGATCTAAGAATTTTGCATTTGGGTAAAAGATACTATACTATAAGATACTAAGTGCAATACTAATGCTAGTTATCCTGACTTAGCTGTCAGTGTGTGAAGGTCCTTCAAAGTTACTGGGCAGAGGTTTCTGGGCCCTTTTTTTCTGATTAATCAGCTTTATGGTATGACTTTTCATTGAGGTGATTATATTGTTTTATAACCTAAATAGGCTTTTAACACTCTCTCCGACCTGTCAGCTTTGTTTATTGCTGATTGTTAACAATCATTTCTAACAGAATAGCTAGATTAATAATGAAATCAAAACAAAATAGTGAAGAAAATAAATAGGGTCACTAATTTAGTGACTTCTAAAGGCAATTTGCTGTCATAGATTTTATTCCAGGTATCAATGATGCATCTACACTGCTCTACATGTGAATCAGTCTCCTTCTACTTATTCTATAAATATTCGACTGAAATACACTTAACAGTCTGGAAGCAGTTAGTGAAATGTGATAAAATATAGAAAACAATTATGGGATATACATATTTGTCTTCAAAAAAAAAAAGAAAAAAGAAAAAGAATAATATAAATATGAAGAGTTTAGGGTTGTAGTCAGTGTCAACTGTTTCTATCATAAGCACCTGATAAACAGCCCAAAACATTTAAAGCTGTTTTATAACAGGGTTTATACATGAATGAGTTACTCTAATTTAATGCTTTTTAATTCTATTTTAATGCTCTTAGAAATAATTTTAATGCGATCAACAAGTATGTATGACTATATATATATATATATATATATATATATATATATATATTTTTTTTATTATTATTATTATTATCTATATCTATAAAAAACATGGCAACTCGTCATCTTTACCGTCAACAGGCTGCAGCCATGTCCCAAATTCCTTGCTTTCCAGTCACTTTTGTTGAAATTTACATTTTCCCATTCTCTATCTTTTTCTCCGCCTCAAGCTTCTTTTCCAAACACGGGGACCAGTTATATCTGATATAATATATCGGAGGAACTTGTTATTTAAAAAAAAAATAAAAAGAAGCATTTTAAAAGCCAAGATAATCACATTTAATGAATTTTAATGCCAGTTAAGGCCTTAATTAAAAAAATAAGAATTTAATGACTTTTAATGACCTGCGGAAACCCTGTATAATGATAATATTTGTACAAAACTGAATGAAATAAATTTTTTATAACCACTGTCAATTTCCATTTCATTTACTGAATGAAATTACCCATTATGAAAAAGATTTTTTAATGTGAGTTTTGATGAATTCATCCATTATTTCAGATACATTTAATCAGGGTGTGAGTATTAGACTCACCTGGATAACAAAACGGCCCAATGATCAGTCAAAGGCTTCAGCCTCTTCCTCTTGGTAGTGATCAGCTGAAAATTTAAACAAGTAGGAGTTACACTAAAGAACCTCAGAGATGGGCTGAAATTTCTTTCGACATAATTTTATCGTTAATTTTATCGTTAACACAGAAATGCTGCGCCTTCATCTGTCGCATTCTTAAGGACCTTCAGTAGCTCATTTATTTAGCATGTTGCCAATAATAGATTGAAGGAGATAATTAGATGGAGGAAGACAGATTTAGGTTCAATTTCTTCCTTGAAAGCTGTTATTTTAGAGTTCTTAATCAGAAAAATCCACATATTTAAGTTGAGAACTCAGCAGTTTCCAACAAACCAACATCTCATCACCCAACATAGCCAACAAAAAAAATGTAAAAACATGAAAACTGCTGCCAGGTATTGGTACTTCTGCCAGTTTGAATCTGATTAAATTAGTCATACACAGTGAAAGCTTTTCTAGTCTGTTTGAATATTTAACATTTTTAGAAACAATGATTAGCATGCTAGTGTGGCCACTAAACAAAACATTAAGCAAATTTCACAGGTTTAGCTTTTATTGACTCAATACTATAACAAAGGAATGGTTTTTGTCTTTTTTTTCAGCGTGTCAAATGATTTCCAAAACAATTTGACTTGAACCTGAATTTAATGACACACAATTTTGTTTGTAAAAACAACCCTTGATGAAATAAGCACATATATATAAATTACATTTGGAAGCAGTAATTGTTCTCACATATCCTTTTTTTGTCCCCGTTTGTACCCTTCAGCTATCTAATTTTTTTTAGTCCATCCAAGTGGCAATAGGTCAGACATCTCTTATATTTCGGTCATATTTCACAAACCATACCAAGGTCTGACATTTAGATTCAAGAAATTACTTACATAATATCTGTGTGAAAACATGAAGTAAGCCAAAGTATCTCAAAAGGCAAGTAGTTCTGCTTTTGTCTAAATTAATTACATAGTGTTACATTATTTTACTGTATTTCTTGAGGTGATTAACTTTCTTTTCCCAGATTATTATGAAATGATCTACTGATCAATAGAGCAACTGCAATGACAGTTCCCCATTTATGTCATAAAACAACTAAACAAGCATGTAAGAAAGGTACAATACAGGCATTTCTTGGAAATAAAAAGTTATTTCAATAAGAGAGTTTTTCAGCTTTGATTTAAAAAGCTTTGAGTGTGTTTCATACTGTAAGATGGGTCAGAAAGCTATAGCTATAGCTATTGCAAATCGTTTAATCTGTCCATTGTTTTTTCGATTAATCGATTAATATTCAGACAACCAAAGGCTCCTTAAAGAAGATTTTTTACTAAATTAAACCAGGTGAAACTAAGAGGTTTTCAATTAAGGAGTTTGGGATGAACATATTGACAGACAAAAAAGTTTTCTTTTATCTTAAATGCAAAATGTTTATATATATTTTTTTTTTTTACAATTTTGGTAATTACTGCTCTAAGTGTGTTGCTCTGTCAGCTAAATGCATATTTTACAATCTCCACACTCCATTTAACGATTTTATTACTGAAATAGTTGACAATCATTTCAATAATCTATTTATCACGATTAATCCAATTAATTGTTTCAGCCCTAATATAGTCACATACAGGTTTAGGTGTAACCCATTTCTTACACATCTGGTATGTTGTTAGTGTGAACAGCTAAGCGTGAGTTTTATTTTATAAAAAGTCTCAAAAATCTTTTGCATGAGTTACGCAAGATCCAAAGTAGCATCCTCTGCTACACTACATATTAAGATGAAATAACTGAAGTCTCTGACAGAGCAGTGTCAGATTTCTTGAATATTTGGGGATATGATTGACCATTTGGAGAACCTATAGATTGTGTAGTAAGCATGTGACTTTTTAGCTCCAAGGTGGTAGAAAAGTTGCAGGTTTTTTTTACAATACATAAAAAAAAATGAGACTGAGTCACAATCTGTGTAACATGTCCTGCCTTGAAACATGAGAACAGCTGCACCATACCTGTTTGAAAGCAAAGTGCATCATAAACAATAGTTCATAGATTAATCAGGAATTAATTTCTGGCAAACAATGATTGTCCTCTTTATCTTTAGATGCACATTTCTAAATATCTCAACACACTGGGAAATAAAAGAAAAAGTATGGCAGCAGCTTTATTCCCTGCAATTAACAATATCTTGTATTTTCCCTCTTAAAATTTGCCATCCTAAAATTTCTCAAAATCTCAGTTTAAAACTGAAATATATTTGAAATAAGTGACTCATTAAAAAAGGCAATTCGAGGGTGACCTAAGATAAAAGCTCAAGGACTGAAAGTTCAAGGACTTCCTGATGACAGACAGCTACTTACAGATTAACAGCTGAAGGAAAGAGATACATTTTGTTTGAATATTGCTGTAGGGTGTATTTATTGTTCATCAGCTCTAGACGATAAATCTCAGCTAGATGAGAAATTGTTAGACAGAATAAAAGGACCAGCTCACTGCAGGTGCATCTAAAATCAAATGGAGGACAGAGAGACAGAGGCTGTCAGATCGGGTTAACAGCCTGTGGGTGTCAGGCTATGTGCCGGTAGGGAACTGGGTAACATCTGGCTCATGAACTCTGCCTTGCATCATCCTCCACTCCTCTTTCTGTATTTCCTGTTCTGCTTAATGTGCATTGAACAAATGTAATAAAAACAACAGCATGTTAGTGTGTGTCCGAATATTCAAAATGGAAAAGACTGTCTTTTTTCTCATTGTGGAATCTACACCTGGAAAAGCTTGTATAATAGAGAGAACTTTAAACACAAAGAGCAGGTCCTCATGTTTTTTTTTTGGTAACCCTCCACCCCCTTCCTTCCTCTCCCATCCTCTCTTTTCCTCCCCCTTGCTATGTTATCTGTTTGGGCAGGTTGTTAAGCTCTGTTTGATCAGAGTATTTATCGTCACACACTTTCACCACCAGGAAAAAATGGAAAAGAGGCTTCAGAGAGGGCTAACAATGGTCAACTGTCCTTGTAGAGGGAAATGGAGTGAGAGGACAGAATGGAGAGAGTGTGAACAGCAGCTGTAACTGTTAATCCACTTCAGATGAACATCCTACAGCCTACTGCACTAAAAAGATCACAGTCATAGATAGAGAGATAGATAGATAGATAGATAGATAGATAGATAGATAGATAGATAGATAGATAGATAGATAGATAGATAGATAGATAGATAGATAGATAGATAGATAGATAGATAGATAGATAGATAGATAGATAGATAGATAGATAGATAGATAGATAGATAGATAGATAGATAGATAGTAATACCTCTTATCTGGTACATCATGAATGGAAAAATCCTCCTATAAATAGCTAAATATCAATTATTCAAATGCCCTCTCCTCTCTGCTATAATACAGCCCAGATGGCAAACCGACCAATGCGCTTATATCAGGGACAGATTAGCCTTTCAAAGCCAGTGGAAAGCTGCACAAAATATGAGCCCAGAGCTACAAATATATTCGTTATTAACCACCAGATTAGGTTTAAGACTAAAGCGGTGCTAGAGCAGAAAACTGACAGTACAGTGATTAACATGCCTTAATCAGGGACGTTAAATAGAACTAAAACATGTGGAATATGTTTTTTTTTCCTCTGGGAATTTAAAGCCAAACATAATTTTGTTGAGAGATGTTTATTGGATCAATCACACATAACTACTTTAAATGGCACAAAATATAATAAATAAAATCTAACTTGATACTAAAGCTCAGAAAAAATATTCTGATCATTGTTGATATACAATTATTCTTGTAAAAAAAATTACAACTTCACATAAGCAAAACAGCATTTCATTTTTCTATTTTAACAATTATTTTTATTTTATTTTTATTTTTCCTAAATATTTCCCAACATTTGCATATACAGAATATATTAACTCTGACTAAATGTGCAGTGTTTTTTTTTCATCCAAAATATAAAATACCTGACCTCATTCTCTCAATTTAAACATTAAATAAAAACTGTGCCTAATTCTAAAATTAAACCCATAGTTTGTATATTTTCATATTCCAGAAAATATATTTTTGAACATTTTTAACACAAAGAAAATATGCCTGGATATGTAAGGTTGTCACATAAAATCGAATGTCTAAATACTCATCATTATCCGTTTATTTCAATATAGATTTTAGGTAAAAACACAAAAAATGTAATAAAAACTGTTGCTTTTAGTAACACACATCTCACATACTAAATTGCATCAACTTCTAAATATTAAGACAGAACAGTATCTCATATTAACACTAGTGGTAGCTATCTATCTAATATATGTTTAGCAATCTGTCATTTTGCGTTTGAGCGCGCGTGGCAACATCTGCCGGGACTTTGACACGCAACAGGAATCCGCTCTGGCCGTTCGCGCGCTCCTAGCTGTCAGTTGGTTTCTCCGTGCACGCGCCTCTGCGTCCTGTGACTAATTGGCAGCTGTGAGGACTAGTGTCGCACTAAAGAAATAATATCAACACAGAGACAGGCAGCGGCGACCGTTCGCTCTGACGTTTATAAAAGCTGGTATATAAAAAAGACCAAGTTTTAAATTTAGAATGAACTCACAGAGAGAAAGAAGCTCCAGTTGTGATGCCTCCCCGAAGCTTTTTTTTTTTTCCCCACTTCACTGTCCGTTTCTGCTTCCAGCACGCCACTGACCTGTACTCCGACAGCGGCTGGATTTCTACGCCACTCCCGTTTTAATCAATCTCTTCCAGGTTTCCTCTTACCTCCCTTCTCTCTTTGCTGTACTTGTTCTGGTTATTTCCTACCTTTTCAGTCCCTCTATCTTTGGCTGGCATCAGTTCTCCCGGCGTGGAGTGGAAGTGCAGTGGAGCGCAGTGGGCGGGCAGGCGGGCTCCGGAGCTGTCCACTTGACGGTCCGATCCCTCCCATGTTGGCATGACCCCCAGGATGAGCTCATGCACGAAAACATTACGCAGGCAGTCGATATAAATACTTTAATTTCTACTTCTCCTTTACTTAATTCAGTTTGACCATTAATAACATTTATTGTTGCTATGCAAAAAGTCTGAACCCAAAAAAGCCCTCTTCAGTACCTTTGAAGGCCTGATGCCAGATTTCCAGCACAACACTTCCAGTGCAAAGAAACATAACAGACTACTGACCACAGAAAGAGAAAAAGTCACACATTAACAGTTTTATCTCATAACAGGTATCCTTTTGAAGATTAGCCCTGATACTGGATAAAAACAAAGAACCACTGTCACTTTTCAGCTTGTTGCTCTAGCATGCCTTCCTCAAATAGACCTGTCCAAATAATTGCAATTTACAGTTCAGAAAAGAGATTTTAAAACATTTGCAAACAGCACTAATATCATATTAATTCTGATTAAACATATAACAAAAGTGAGTCGGTTATCACAAATGCTGTCACTGAGGCACAAAAATATTTATTAAAAAAATAGTGCAGTTCTAGGTAAACTTTGATTTTCAGTTAAAGACAAATTCACAATAAACTAAAGGTTATGAAACCTGTTTATAAAATTTAGTGGAGTTTGCTTGTTTAAATAATTCCAGCCTTGAAAGACACACGTTTCACAACATGAACGTAACTTCTTACTGCATTGTATTCTGCCTTAGAGTTCTGTCTTAACAATTTTATTAAACTATAATTTGTTTTATAAGACAGTAGTTCTGGAATTATTCTAGCGTTACTTATAGTGTTTTATTGCCTGATCCTTACCCTGCCTATCCCTGTTCTGATCTGTTTGCCTGACCTGTCTTCAGATTGTTGCTAGTTTCAATTTGTGGACTGTACCTGGATCTGTCTCATAACTTTGCCCTCTGGATTATCCTGCCGTTCCGTCGGATCTGATCTCCTGTCAGTTCTGTGATCTTCAAGCCATCAGTGTCTGGAACTCTTTGCAGCAACAGCTGCGTCTGGTCAGCTGACTGGCTGGCATCCACCTCATTCTCTTGGCATGAACAGTTCTCTAAACCAGGTTAGTGACTCACACGTTCAGATCATCCTCTGTCAGGTTTTCGTGATCACTAACCTGTGTTTCCTCACTCCAGAGTTACTGCTGATTCGCAGTTTGTCCGTTTTTTTTTTTTATAAACGCTTTTTGAGTATCCAACTATCTGCCTTGTCTGAATACTGGTTCCTCTGTTCTGATGTGTGATATAAAGTTGCTAATTTGTGTAAATTTAAAAGATCTGTGTAAACTAATTATTTTATTTAATATAATCTTCTTCTTCCCAATTTTATATTCTTTTTAAGGGCTTTTGAGCTGCTCTTTGATTTTGGGAACCCTGCCAGGGGCATTAAAACACCTGACAGCATAGCCTCTTGCATCATCCAGGTAATGAAACGCCTCCACCATGTTAAGGTGCCATTTTAAGGAGGGTTCAAATGGATTCTGGCAAACAATCCGGCGCCTACGGAGGGAGAAGCAGTACTTTGCTTACACTATTTCAAGTGGGAGTTGGGACCTTCTGACCCCGAATGATAACATTGTCGAACGGTGAATGGAACAGTTTTAGGATCCCCTCAATCTGGCTGATGGGACCTCCATGGTGGAAGAAGAGATGGGTGCTTGGGACCGGATTTGTTCATTACCCAGGCAGAAGCCTCTGATGTGGTCAAATATCTCCATGGTGGCAAAGCTTTGTGGGTCGATGAGATTTACCCCACTCTTACCTAACTCGGGCTGTTGTGGCCGACCCACCTCTTCAAGATTGTATGTAGGTTCGGAACAGTGTCTGTGGACTGGCAGAGTGGGGTGGTGGTTCCCCTCCATAGGAAGGGGGACCAGAGGTTTTGTTATAACTACTGTAAAGGGGGATCACACTTCTGAGACTCTCTTACCTAGGCCATGGCTTTGGACTCAATTCCGGCACATGCTGAACTAGTACAGGGCTGCCCTCTGTCATTAGCGAACCAGTTCAGAACCCTTATAGAAAATGCTATTTGAAGATGACATGTATGTGCTGGCTCCCTCCTGCCAAGATTTACTGCCTACACCGGGGCAGTTCACAGCTGACAGTAATGCAGCCAGAATGAGAATTAGCTCCTCCAAGTCCAAGGCCATGGTACTCAACTGTAAAAAGGTGGCTTGCCCTTATCAGGTTGGGGAAGAGTTCGTGCCTCAAATGGAGGTGTTTAAGTATCTTGGGTTCCTGTTAACAAGTGAGTGGAGAATGAAGCAAGAGATCAAAAGACAGATTATTGCAACTGCTGCAATAATGCAGACACTGCACCAGTCTGTTGTGGTGAAGGAGGAACTGACAAGAAGGCAAAGGTCTCAATTTACCAGTCGGTCTACGTTCCTACCCTCATCTATGGTCAGGAAATCTGGATCATTACCAAAAAAAAAAAAGGACAGAAGTGGATGAAATTAGCTGTCTCACACAGTGGATGAGCACTCCCTTAGAGATAGGGTGAGAGGACTCAGTTGAGGTGGCTCAGACATCTTTTTCAGATTACCCCTGGACACCTCCCTTGGAAGGTTTTCCAGGCACGTCCCACCAGGAGAAGGCCCAGGCTACAACCTAGGACAAGACATAGAAACTTTGTCTCTCAGTTGAGCTGGATGAGGTGTCTACAGAGAGGGAAGTCTGGGAGTCTCTGCTGAGACTGCTTCCCCGCGACCCGGTCAAGGATAAAGAGGATGACGAGTATGAGAACCTGTAATGCATTCTATGTAGGTCATAATATGAAATTTCAATTAAAGAATTGTCAAAGGCTTGGTGTATTCTTGATGCCTACGCACAGTTTGCACCGCCAAAATACGTCATTCTCCTGTTGACAGAATTTCCGCACTGCACATCTGGGAAAATGTGTAACTATGCAGACAGATCCGCGCGGAAAACATGGCGAGCGAGCTGCAGCTCCTGTTTGCGGGGTTTCGCAAATGTAAATATCTAGAGACATACTATGATTTTGCACATAAAGATCAACACCATCAATAGATTGTGGAAAAAAAACTTCTGGAAAGAAATGACTGTCCCTCTCAAACAGCATAAAGAGGCTTTGATAAAGTTGTAAATGGCAGCGTTTTCTAATTCCTCATTTAGTGCTGTGTTGTCAGCCTGCTGAAAGCCGCACAGACTATAAATGCTGCAGACGCTTTGACGTGAGGCTTATTTTCCATGCAGAATGTCCGTCCATCAAGCATAATGAGCCCTTAAGAGGTAAATGTCCAATTAAACTGGGCCAGCTTAGCGATTTCCATTTATTTTACTTAAACTAGAAGGGCCTGTGTGTCAAACTATACATTTATATTTTTCTTCTGAGATTATTGCAGTGTACGTTTTACTTATTATGAAGTACAAAAAAACCTTGAATATAAGCATAACATGAATAAATACTGCTCCACTCCTCTGAAAAAAAAAACATGACTCATGCATTATAACCTTACACTGAGTACCTTTTTCTTTAAAAAAAAGAAACTCATTTTAATATTTTACTTGGAGGTCTTTGAACAGTCAAGCTCCTTGGTGCAATTCTGCTCCTTTAAAACTGATGTTTTTAGGACTAAACTGGTTATACTAAAAGATGTTTTGCCCCTTTCTGTTCCCACATAATCAAGAACCAATGCACAACCCATAAAGAAAATGATGCATAAGTTTAATGTGGACAAACCTGGCTGGGATACACAGAATCCTGAGCTAAACCCTTGTTCCCAAACAACAGTCAATAATGCATCCTGTAATGTCGTCAGTGGGGAAAAAATGCCAGGAAAAGAAGCTGTGAATTGGTTTACAAGAGGTAATCTAAACACTTTGTCTGGCTAATAAATGTTGCAGCAAACCTTCTCCTAGCACGCTGCATTCAGTACCTCTCCACTTGCTCCCTTCTAAAACATCCAATATGCATATTTCCAGAAGTCATCCCACTGAAAAAATGATCAACAACCTTGTCTTTTTGCTTGAAATATCATATCCCCACTTTGGGTTTTCAGTATTGCGTATAGATGAACACTAGAACAATGCCCAGCAGGTGATTACAAAGTAGGCATGTTTGGCATTACAGCACAGCAGCAGACAAAAAAAAAACCTTTGAAGGAACCAGGATCTCGTCTGTCTACCCTTTACTATTTTCTGACAGTGTGTTTGGATGTAGCAGAGGAAAACTACCCTGTTTGGTTATCTGTCCAGGCCTTTTTACAACTGCCCCTCATCTGCCTTGTTGATTTAATCACACAGACCAACCAATTCCAGGAAAACAGGTGTTTGGACGTTAGCAGCTCGTTTTTTCTAATAATAATAAAACAAAAACATTTCAGTTCCACAAATTAAACCAGCACCACTTTTCTTTCCTTAAGCTGTGTCGTCGCTTTCACCATGAGGATCATATTTTTTTTCCCACCAATTTTAATGCATCACCTGAGTAATGTTAGCCTTTTCAAGTCCACCCTCTCTTTCTCTATTCCTGATTAAAAATGGTTATGCAGTGAGTGAAAGGTCGCAAGTTGTTATGGAAACAAGGCTGCTAACAAAAGCTGGACACATGGGTACAGAAAGTGGGGAGAGGGGAAAAAACAGAGAGGGAGATGTGCCTGAATAAATATGCAAAGAGGAGGACAGGGGCATGGAAAAAACAAAAAAACAAAACAGCAAGAGGTTTGAATAAATAAAAACATATGTGGAGAGAGAGGAGGAGGAAAAGGGAGAATGCCAGGTCTCCGAATGATGGCTCCATCTGCAATAATGAATAACAAAAGATAAGCCTGGGTTTTATCATTCTGGGAAGCAGATTTTGGAACAAAGGTGTGTAGTCCACTTTGACAGTGGGAGAATGCAACAGATAATAAGCGTGCCGCAGCTCGGAGATGCTAAAAAGCTCAGGTTGTGCATGGAAAGGCTGACTAAAAAGACTAAAATTATGTATCTGTGTATGTGTTTGAGTGCCTGAGCATCATCATCTTTCTGAGGGCTCATATTATGTTAACCACTCAGACTAACATCAAACACTCATACGCACACATGCTTCCGTGGAGGCATGGAGGTGCCAGCCATATAAATAGGATATCCCACAGCGAGAGATATAAAGAG